TATGACGAAAAGTCGGAAACCACTCGTCAGAGATTGAAATGACACAATGGTTTATCAGTCTCTGTACATCATTCCCTGCCTTCCCTGGGTTCCTCCCACTCGGGTTCTTAGGCAATGTAAGTTAAATCACTCTTATCTCCATTCCAGGGGGGGGAAGAGGGGGGGGGGGGGTGTCCGCTGGTGCTCTAAAAAATTGTGAATAAAGAATGAAAATACTTTGACCTATAATATTATTATATTATCTCAGGAGACGCACTGAAAGTGCATTCTTATTATCGAGCTTAGAAAAGAGAGGCTTAGAGTAATGAGAAGCCCGTCCACGTAATATAATGGCTATTTGAAACCAACTTGCACAAAAACTATTCTCCACTTATTTACTTTCGTGCATAATTTTCGAAATTATTACAGATCTACGAACCATGGCACAGATACAGTTGAACACTGTTACACATTACGCATTGCCTTGAGATTGGTCCAGATTTCGGGTGAGTATTTTGAGCAGAAATCGTCATCATTAGGGCGTGGACTGACATTGGGAAGAGGGAAGTGCTGGTATAAAATCTCCCTATACCCACACACCAGCTCATATCTCTCCTTTCGTCTGTCTATCGACCCAGCGAGACGTCATCTGTCGCTCTCTTCACCATGGGGAGATTCGTTGTCTTATTCTTCGCAGCTGCAGTTGCAGGTAACATCAATCTAGTACTTATTTTTTTAAAAATAGAAAGTTATAATGTTTATTATTTTTATGCCTCCGTACAGAAATGTGAATTATATCATAAATTAGCTTTTAAAAAAATGTAGGTTCCATTCTTATTAAAGTAGCCGATGATGTTGTTAAGATTAACGAAGGACCATCACAAATTTTTCGAATATCTACAAAGTTTTCTACACAGCTGGTCCTCATTTCTGGCAACTTTCTTTTTTTTTAGTGGAGGGAAAAAGGGGGGAGGGAGAAGAATTGTTTGTTTTTTTTGTTTTGTTTTTGTAAAGTGTTTTACGGCACTCGCAACTGCATAAGGTCATATGAGCGCGCGGGACACGCCTAATATTTTCAGTTGGTAGGAAATTTTGAATTTTGCCCGGGTGGCGGCCGAAGCCTACTCTTATCGATTTTAGACCACCAAGGGATCTTTAACGTACGCAACTTGCACACGGGCCCTCCGAGATTTTTCGTCCTTGTCCGAGAAGGCTAGGTGTAGATCTTTCCTACCAGAAGATCAGGGGTGTGGCACAAAGATAGCAGTAAGAAGAAGCGAAGGAGTAGCAGTAGAAAGGTTGCAGAAAGAATCAGGAGCCCAGGGGAAGGGGCAAAGGAGGTGAGGGGGGAGGGGGCAGAAAGAGGAGACGAAAGCAGACGACAGAACATTGCTAGAGAGCAGGAAATGAGGTGAAAGGAGACAAATTTAGATAAGAAAACTTTTCGGTCGCTACCCGGATTCGAACCCGGGACCTTTTGAATGAGAGGCCAACACCTTAACCTCTAGGCCACGAGAGCCCCCGGGAGAAGAATAACTGAACGAGTCGAGTCAATCTATTTTTTTTAAAATCAGATACTCCCTGCTAACAGATCCTCTTTTTAGTTAGTTTTAGTAGAGGTTTTACGGCGCTCACAACTGCATACGGTCATATGAGCGCCAAGGTGTGGATGTCAACAGTGAAGTCCAAACAGGGAATTCAGCTTTCTCTGCTCACCTCACTAACCTCAACAGCGCAAAGTACAAAAGAAGTAGAGGAAAATGACGATAGTAAGGATGAGAAAAGAAAAGGTAGTCTAGTGGTTCCCCTTATGTTGTTCCGGCACAGTATGAGCATGACATTGATAAATCAGCCAATTAATTTACAGTTCTACTGTGCACAGGAACATGGTAATATCCCCTTTTTGGGATTGGCCTAAAGACACTTCAGTCAGTAGCTCTTCTTCTTCTTCTTCTTCTTTTTCTTCTTCTTCTGCTTCTTCTTCTTCTTCTTCTTCTTCTTCTCCTCCTCCTCTTCCTCCTCCCCCTCTCCCTCTTCTTCTTCTTCTTCTTCTTCTTCTTCTTCTTCTTCTTCTTCTTCTTCTTCTTCTTCTTCTTCTTCTTCTTCTTCTTCTTCTTCTTCTTCTTCTTCTTCTTCTTCTTCTTCTTCTAATAATAATAATAATAATAATAATAATAATACATGTAATTATTATTATTATTATTATTATTATTATTATTATTATTATTATTATTATTATTATTATTATTATCATAATAATAAAAAATCATCATCATCATCATCATCATCATCATCATCATCATCATCAGCAGCAGCAGCAGCAGCAGCAGCAGCAGCAGCAGCA